GGTGCCTGCACTTGTGTACATGACCCAGGTGGCGCTGCTTCTTCTCTCTCTATCCAGCATCAATGCCTGAATGTACCATCATTCAGGCAACAAATCTTGAAATGATGTCAGGTTTTCTTATTTTTAAGGAGACCCAATTATTCTTACAGAATTTATGGACAGGAGATATTACAAAACATCTGTACATTTACAGACAGGTGGCAGCCCTGCCATGTCTACTCTACATTACCAGACCTCTACTTTAAGGCCGGGCTGTTCAACTAGTGGCCCATGCAACCCCTGGGCTCTCACTCAGCTGCATCTCCCCCATGACTGAAGCTGCAACAGCAGCTGGAGTCTCTAAGCTCCACCTTCCTCCTCTGGCTGCCCCTTCCTTTCTTCATAGGCAAGATAATAAGGAAATTATCCATAGAGATTGATCAAAATCCATTTATGAAGAAGCATGGAGAGCTGAGGGTGAGTCCAGGGCTAAACCAGGAGATGGGAGATCAGCACTGCATGTGGAGGAGAGACTGCAGCTATTTGGGGCAGGGATGGGGGGCCACATTGTAGCAGGGGAGATCATACTATTAGGTCTATATGCGACAGCAGTGAGGAGGCTGTTGCAGCAGTGGGAGGGGATCATGATCACATGTGTCTGTTCAGTGCAGCAGTGGGAGGAGCATCTGGTGTAGTGGAGGAGGGGAAAGTCTATGCAGCATGCCTTGTTCAGCTTCTGCAACATGAGGCCCCTGCTGGTGTGACCCCTGGGGGCTTAGGAGCTGGACACCCCTGCTTTACGATGATCCTCTTATAGCAGAGGTGGGCAATTATTTCGGGTGGAGGGCCACTTACTGAGCTTTGGCAAGCTGTTGAGGGCCACGTTAGTAGCCCCGCCCCTTGACAGGTGCCATATCCCCTGGTTGCCATTTTGTGACCAGAAGTCTCACCCCATAACCCCTGACCTTTGCCACAAGAAGTTGCTCTCCTTGCCCCTGAAAGTACTTTCAGCAAGGGGTTTTGCCATCTCAGAACCAGAAAATTACCAGATTATATTCTAAAAATTGAACATCTACAACACTCATTAATTTGATTTCAAAAAATAGTTTTGTCCTGATTTACATGTGGTTGTGTAGTGCATATAGAGGTGATTGCACAATAGGGGTGTGGGGTGAGGGAGCAGGTGGGTGTGGATATGTGGGGTGTGGGTGGGTATGGGGTTTGGGAGGCCTACCAAGTTTCAAGATCAGTGCAGGGGTTTGGGGGGAACTGTACCCCAAAATCTTGAAAGCAAAAACTCCTGTCACATCTACGTGTTACAACACAGGGGGTTCAAAAGTGCAGGGGCGGTATCTCTTACTGAGGCCACAAAACCTGCCAGGTTTCAAGAAGATCAGTGCAAGGGTTTGGGGGAACTGCACCTCAAGCTGCGGACAAGCAAAACTCGTGACATGGGTGACAGTGTGTGTGTTAAGGCACAGCGGAGTGACAGCTGCAGGGATGGTAGCCCCTGCTGAGGCCACAACACCTGCCAACTGTCGAGGAGACTGGTGCAGGCAGGTTTTGGGGCTCTGCACCCCTAGCTGCTGACAGCCAAAACTTGTGACATGGGTGCTTGTGGGACTGACTGTGTCTGTCTTGGGGCAGTTGATTGTCTGTATTGATTCTTTCCTCTCCTTAGTCTGGTTTTGTAGGTGCTAATTGATTGCAATTAACTGGCTACATTAGCTAGGTACTGTGTATTGAGCTGGTCCCTGAGTGAATTATGATTGACTGGTAACTGGTAACACAGTAGCTTAGCAGCCAGGCCTGCAGTACTGTCTCCCACGCCCCAAGACAGACACAGTCCCACAAGCACCCATGTCATGAGTTTTGCCTGTCAGCAGCTAGAAGTGCAGGGCCCCAGAACCCCCCTGCACCGATCTTCTCAATAGCTGGGAGGCATCGTGGCCACAGCCATCGCTGCAGCTGTCACCCCGCTGCGCCTTAACACATGGCACAAGTTCTGCTTGATTGCAGCTTGACAGGCAGTTCCCCCCAAACCCCTGCACTGATCTTCTTGAAACTTGGCAGGCTTTGTGGTCTCAGCAAGGGCTACCATCCCTGCAACCTTGACCCCTCTGTGTTGTAACACACAGATGTGACAGGAGTTTTGCTTTCAAGAATTTGGGGTGCAGTTCCCCCCCAAACTCCTGCACTGATCTTCTTGAAACTTGGCAGAATTCATGCTCTCTGCAGAGTCTACCATCCCTGAAAATTTCATCCAAATTGGACAAAAGATAACAAAGTTGTAGATATTTTACTGTTTCCCCATTATACCCTATGGCCAGATCTCCAAGGTGGCTCCAAGGCGGCTCCGAAGAGCTTTGGAAGCTCCAAACCACTTTGGGAAGCCTAATGAGGCCAGCACTTTGAATTGGACATGCTGCTTTGGACCCCGAAGCATCCAAAGCTTCTCTGGATCAGAAGTTCTGTCCAAGCCTTGCACAGCCCTAGTAATTACCGTGTTCTAGCCAGCCTCTGCATCTTGTGTATCAGTGTCCCCATGCTTCAAAAATGCTGTCAGGGATGCTTGAGCTAAAGCTCATCAAACGAGCTTTAGTTCAAGCACCCCCGCCACCGTTTTGAAGCATGGGGATGCTGATACATGAGATGCTGAGGTGCTTAAATTAGAGTGGCTCTCAGAGCCACTCTAATTAAAGCATCTTTCCCCCACCCCCCACCCCTGAAGCCCATGTAAAAGTGCCCAGAGGTACTAGATTTAATGCTCATTAACTAAAGTGCATTAATGCATGTGTAGATGTACCCAGTGATCCCAACTCTACTCCCCTTTATTCTCTAAAAAGTTCTGTTGATTGCAGTTGAATAATTCTAGGAGTAAACTTGGAAGAGTTGAACCTAAGTCTAAAGGAATTAACCCACTGTGACAAAGCCAGCCAGGGAAAATAATTTCTATACATTTTCATATATATTCCTTAAAATCCTATATACCTATTATGGTTCTAGGAGTATGTGAGTTACATAAAGTAAGCACACATCCAAAGTAAGTCAAAAAAGAAAGGAAAAACAGAGGAATTCTCTGAATTTTCCCCCATGACACTTCTAAAAAATTACTAGGCTGTCATAGGGTAGAAATGGACATCACCAAACAAGTGGATGAAGGTGTCATGACAACTGATCCACTTTATTGGGTGAAACACACAGTATCAATTGTCCTACACTGTCATGGACAACAGATGAAGGTCCCAATGTGGGGTGACACAGGACCAAGGGAATTCCTGGCACCTTGTGCCTTCACACTGGGGCCTGTGTTGACCTGTTGCTCCATATGAAACATGGGTTGGCATGGGTCCTGACAAGGATGAGCAGGGTGACTTGGGACCTAGAGGATTTCCAGCACCCTGTGCCTCAACACTGGGACCCAAACTGACCCATGCCTCTACATGAAGCATGAATCGGCATGGGACCCAGGGAATTATCAAATCCTGTGCTTCCATGCTGGGACCAATGCAGCCTTTCTTCACTTATAGAGACTTCCTCTGGAGATCCCAGAGCAGGTCTTTGTAAGCAAGGAACCCCAATGTTCCCCACTTATAGAGAGCATCCTGAGAATCCCCTGGGTGCATCTCTGTAAGAAGGGAAAGCTAAGCAGATGCTCCACAGGCTTGAGGGGCCTGATCTTGCATGAGAATTTCTACAGTGCACAAGCCTCTCAAGCTCCCAGAGCTTGAGAGCTGCCCACACTCTACCATCCCAGAACAAATAGATGTCAGCCACAATAAAGCGGCACTATTTAATGCTACCTTTTGTCATGCCACTGATGTGGTGTGGCAAAGAGTAGAGATGTCTATTGGCTTGTCATTTGTGCCGTCAAAATTTTTTTTATGGCAGCACAAATGAGATGTCAGGTAACATCTGTTTCTACCCATAGTGTATCAACACTTAGACTGCATCCAAAAATGATTACTTAATATTTAAAGATATATATAGATATAGATATAGAGAGAGATATAAAGAATTTTGTATACACACATATATATAATTAACTGGCATATATACTTCACTAGTTTGTAGGCAAAAAATGTTGTAATTTAAATATTCTTTTCTATATGAAATAATTGAACATGGTATCTCAGTAAAAGGCAATAGTTGAAGTCATATAAGCAAATTCAATATTTTGTATTTTTTAAATATTTTCGAGATTATCAGTAAAAACAAATGCAAGTTAAAAGTGAAATCACACAAAACACATTTTATGTTGCCTTTGATCTTTAACTTGTAGCCTTATCTCCCAGGTCAAAGGACACATTATTCAATTTCACCATATTTTGTGTAAAACCACTGTAGCGTTGAAGATGACTTTCAGTACAAATGTCATGGTACTTAAAGCTAAACCGGACTCTAGTTTTTTGAGCTTCTTAATTAAAATCACAGTTTATAATGGTCTGACAATATTATCTTTATTCTTTCCAGTTGAGCAGCAGCAGAATTTTCACAGCTTTTATTCAATCAAGCCTGGCAATGTTTCTGCTGCTTTCTTTCACTTTCTAAAACATATAACAGGATTCAAAGTGACTAAGCTGTCACTCTACATGAATTTATATTCAATGTCAGAGGGTGTAAGTTGCCTCTCTCCTTATTTTGTCTGCTTGCATGAAATGTAGAATCTACTGAAGAATTAATTAATAAGTAACTGGAAAAAATCCCAGATGCCTTATCCATTTTGCTAAAATGTTTATTTTAAAATATATAACATAGTGGAAGATTATCCTTCTTAGGATGGCCAAGTCATTTTGATAAACAATTCTGCAAGTGTCAGGGTATATTAAAGAGAAGAGAAAACAAGTATTTAAGAAATTTATTGAGGATGCATGCTCTTTTTTAGTTAATTCTAACCAATAATTGTTTCTTAAATTTTGTGATTATTTTCATTATAACCCTCCCACGCTTACATTATATTGTCATGGTAAAAATTATTGGAGTCTTTCCTCTACAGTGATATAGTTTTTGCAGTTACTTACCATTTCATTCAATTTCTTCTGTAAAGTGTATTTTGAAATCTGTAAGAAAACAATAAAGCTACATATCTAAAGTTGTAGTAACCACTCTTCTTTACAGATCTTTTTTGAAGAAGGCCCAAATATTACATTTTCCTTTCATATTTTCATGTGCATTAAAGATTTAGCTTCATCTATAGCCAACCCAATGAAGCAATATCCCCATTTTTAATTCAATGATTATAATGGCAGATTTATTTTAGGATTAAAATTACAATTTATTGAAATATCTAAAAGATGCAAAAAAAAATTGCAGAAATTCTAATATAAACATAAATTAATGTATAAGGGGCATACATTTTTGTAATGATACATAATTATAATGCTGCAGTACTAGAAGCTGCAGTAGGGGAGAAGCAGTGGGTGAGAAAATTCTGAACCTGCCGTGTTTACCCTCCTTCTCAGCATCCATCCTCTGCCATTGTGTGAGAGGATACTGGGCTAGATGGATCTATGCTCTGACCCGGTAAATGGTAGCTTTCATGCCTTATAAAATAGGTTTAAGTGGACTTCAACTTAAAAATAATGTGCTGTTTCATAAAGTGTCTTTGTATATTTAGCAGCATTAAAATCCAGGTTCAGTGCCCAAATGTAAAAATGTCAGCTCCTGCTGCCTATGAAATATTTTGGTGCATATTCTGCATCCTTTATTAATTGTGAAACTCACATATGAAGTCAGTAATACAATACTTTTCATTCTATCAGTATCTGCTATGGAATGTCATTGATATCAATGGGAATCTTGAATTCAGTGATATTTCAGCAAGATCTCAAGATCTTCATTCTCAGTTAATGGCTGCAAATAGGAGATGTTCTTATGACAGATATCATAAAGGGATAAACAGCAATAGCCAAGAGCTGTGTTGTGTGAACCTCATGCAAAAATATGTTATTTACAGAAGAATTAAGTCTAGAGAACAAAGAATTAATTTAACATGGAATTTCAGCACTTCAAGAAATAAGACTGCTAGGTTATAACCTTGAGCAAAAATGTTTTAAAGAAAAGAATGCAGAAGTTAGAGGTATTAAGAATTCATACTTAGGATCCCAGAACTGATCTGGAAACTCCTTTTCTATTCTTCCCCTTTAATTTCCAATCATCTTTTCCTCTTATTTTGCCTTTTTCCCTCTAGGTATGTTGGCTCTCCATAATATTTCTTCTTCCCTTTACTTTCTTCCACTCCCCACTTATTCTCCAGTTTCTTGTGTTCCTCCTGCACATCTGCACTGTTTTCCTGTCTGTCCCCTGCCCCTTATGAGATCTCCTTTTGTTAGTGAATCTGTTTGTGGGTAGCAGAAGCTGTCCTAAGTCATGCCAGGACTGAAACTGGCCAAAGATCAGTAGAGCATAAAGGTGGTTTATAGCCAGTATTATGACCTCCTGTCCTCTTGAGCAATGCACAGAGCAGAACTTACTGGATCCAAAGACTGAATCCTATTGTGCTGTTATACCCAAGTATAACAAGCTGGATTAAGGAAATTTAACCTGAACTCTGAACTTCCTTGCTTTGGTAAATTTAAATCATATCTTTAACATAATGTGAATATTTTTTATTTCAGTTTATCTTACTTAAGAAAAGCCAGCAGAACCTTTATTACTCTTGCTGGCCATGTATCATGTTCAGGAGACCATGAGGTACACTATACATCACCTGGGCTATGTCATGGTTTGAACAAGGCAAAACAAATCCTTGCAGCTTTTGCACAGAAGACCAGCCATGTGGAAGAATTTCTTTTGCTTTTAAAATACTCTCAACACTAACCAAATGATTAAACATGTAGAGTATGACACTAAAAGAAACCAATCTATTTATAAATGAACATTAATAAGAACAAAATATGTAACAAATATCGGCAAAAATGGTTTTTATTACTCAGTCCTATGTACTGAAAAGAGAAATCTAATATAAACAAATGAACTTCTTGCAAAACATTAAGAAGTTATTCATAATTAAAATGTGGCCTTCAAGATAGTACAAGGAGTCCTATATAAACATCAAGATAAGCCATTAAAACATCTACAACTGTTATAGTCACTACTTCAAAAAAATGGCATTAAAAATGGTTCCAGATGATCTCAATCTAATTCTGCCTTGTGCCACAATTAGCTTCAAATTTTCTCCATCCACATATATTGGTCCATGTTGCCTCACTTATTTACTTAATCTCACTCTTTAGGAAATGATTTTAGTCTAAATTAGCATAGGCAAAATTATCAAGGAAATACTCCAGATCTCATACACACAGCTCTGATTCATCAGAGCACTTCAGCAAATGTACTGTGCTGAATCACAGTCAGACAAAGAAGAAGCCAGAATAATTCAAACAGGAAATTTAAAATGTATTCTCTTTCCTTTAAAGGTCCATTATTAGGAATTAACTGTCTCACCTTTCTCAAAAAGAGAAATAAGTGATTTGCAGTCTGATTTGGAGTTTCATTCATATGGACAGTTTTAGTCACATTTTTAGCTAATTAGTTTGAGCATATAATAAAACCTAAGGATTTTTAAGGGCCTCTAGCACCAGCTGAAGAAATCTGAGCAATCACTGTTCAGTAAAATTATAAATACTTTCAAATTTGACAGACAATCTTACAGAAAAAAGTAAGACTAAGCCATAATAAGAAACTAATGAAACTGTGTATCCACCAACTAACACTTTAATTATATATATATATGTACACACACAGATACATCACACCTGATGTGTACATGTGTATGAATAACGTGCTGTTCAATATATATAATATAAAGGAGCTATAATATGCAGAATCTGGAAGTCTATCCATAAATAATTTCATGTACCCTTGCTTGCCAGCACTGATCTGAAACTTTTAAAACACTTGTCTGAACAGATATCACTTTTGCATATACAGCAGCAATATTTAGTGGTCACTGTCCAGAAGGATGTCACCAGCACGTTAAGTGAGGATGCTGTAATAGAAGGGTGCCATATCACCTTCTCAAGATACACTGGCCCATGCAATTCTAGAGTAATTGTCTTTCCTAATTTCTTCAGATTCATAAGTCAGGTACCAACTGAATTCTGTGTAATTTTTTAACATTTCTAAAAGTACAACCACAATTTGATTTACTATTCTGACTTAAAAATACAGAAGGAGGTTTCCAAGCAGTGAAAGAAGCAAAGCCACACTACTAAGAATCTTTAAAAAATACTTATCATTAAATGTAAAAGGTAGGAATGAAGAGCTTAATATCAGTAATACTGGAATAAAAGCCAAAGTCACCTTAAAAGATGTTAAATGTTAGGTTCACTAGAAAAATTCTAGTACAGCATACACCCCCAATCTCGCTGAAAAGTCTCCTTCCATTTAATTTGAAATTGTAACGTAACTATTTTGCTTCCAAGAGTGGAAAAAATGACTGGCCCACTCAGCCAAAATCAGGAAAATAATTAGAAACTGGCAAAATCTGACATTCTGCAGCATATGACAATACCATGAATTCTCTCCTTTAAAAAAAATTCCCTACTCTCTAAACGTTTGATTTTCTTAACATTCTTTAAGAACAAGGTTATCACTAGTCACCTCCCAATATACTTTGTTATAAGTCTTGTCTGGAGATTTCCCCTCATTTCAGCAATGGTGAGCAGCTACTATTATAGCTACACCAGTGCAATGCTGTATGTAGACAACGTAAAACGTTGTAATACAGTTCAAAAAGTATAGTTTATCCTAATTCCAAACAGCAATAAGTTTTCTCAGTGCAAGTAGTGGGTTTGTCAGAGCAAGTTAAAAGCCTGTGTGATACAGGACTGTTTGCAAGTCATAAAATAAAGGAAGACCATGGATATGATTAGGGAAAGGACAAAAGGCACACACAAAAAAGGAGTGTTGGACTGAGGCCCAGTCAGGGCACCTGCATCTTAGAGGCCCCAAACTGAATCTTCCAGACAGGGCAAGGAAAGGATCTGTTTTATTCCTCTGCAGCCAATAAGGAAGAATGAAGAAAAAGATGAAAACTCTGGATAAAGAAGCATCATTAGCCCAGATATTGTCGCAGAAGGAGGACCTTTTCCTGAAGGGCTACTTTAGACAACCTACACGAGACACTATGTCACCATAATAATGTGTTATGGTGACTTAGCGTTGGTGGGCACAAACTGTGAAGCTGCAGCTACATCACCGTAACTATTCATTCCCTCACTATAGTGAGTCACTAAGGTGGCATAACAGCTAAAAATAACCGTGCACCACCAGCACAGTGTAGTAACAACTGTTATTGCACTGTCATTTAGTACTTTCTAACGGAAGTACTAAATGATGGCACAGTAACAACAGCACCGTGGGACATGTGTAGATGCACCCTCCAAATACTGATCCAGAAGGATGCATCCATTGATCCACGTGGATCATGGTGTGTGCTTGAGAGGTCACTAGAACCTTTAATGCATAAGCTTAGGCAGGAGTATGGAGGAGTGGAGGCTGCCCAGACCTTCCATTCCCCCTTTAGACTATTGAGCCAGAATCCAAAGGCCAGACCGAGTCCAGACATTTAGTGCCTCCATGGCTTGGTTATATGCTTATCTGGAAATCAGACCCACAAGGTAGACAAGGATTCTATCACTGAACTACAACAGCAGGTTCAAATGCTGAGTAACAGTAAGTTTATACTACTAAGAAGAAACTAAAGGAGCAACTGAACTTATATACTGGAAGGCAAGGTGCACCTGTACTAGAAAAAGACAATATTGGAAAAGACCCAGTTTAAAAATAAAAAACTATAAAAATAACCAACTTCCCACTTAACTGAAGCTAAAATAATTTAAGTCAGTAGTTTACAATGATTTTTACCTGTAAGGTTTTTAATATTTCCTTCAGACCATCAATTTCCTTTTCTTTTGCTTCTACAACAAGTTGATATTTTCCCTTTAAATCAAAAGGTGTACATTAGTATTTGAAAAAAGAGAATCAATATGACAAAATATCGTCAACCTAGAATATTAGGAAAGTAATCTTTTATTGTGATAGATTCTTTATTATGGACAACAATCCATATGCAAAATAATCATGTAATGGAGCTAAATTATTAATTTGACTATGGAGAAAATTGATTTAAAAAATCAACACTAAAAAAAAAATGGTGCATCTTTACCACATAGAAATAGTTAGGAAATTGTGAAGTCTCACTGGATTATTTCCTTTTCAAGAGAGAAACTCATGGCACAAACAAACACTTAACAAGTTATATTAGTTTTGAACAAACCTACTGAATAACAAAGCCAGAACTATATAGATATATATTCTTATGGCTCTATACATGCAACTAATGGCGTGATTGGATCTAATGCATGATCCATACAATCATGCTCCCTGCCACATCACATGTGCATGGCAGGAGGCACAATTGTGGGACTGTACATTAGATCCAATCACACTTTGCTGCTCGTGTAGGGGGAGCTCAATCCTGTGCTTCCCCTGCATCAGCAACAAGCAGGTTCCCACAGATGGGAGCCCCCTTTGCTCAGCCAAGACCAAAAGTCCCATACTGGACATGGCTCTTGGTCACAGATGCACCACATATCTCTCAGTGTAGCGCAGCCAGGACCAAGAGCACTATCCAATGAAGAACTTTCAGTCTTAGCTGCACGTGGGCTTGAGGGTTTAACGCACCCCTGAGCCTTGGGGGTCGCAGCTGCCATGATCCCCAGGGCCCAGGGGTTTCATGCAGCCCCGCCTGCCATAATCCCCCAGGCCTGGGGGTTTTATACTGGGTATGGTGTACCATAGAGTAGACCCTGCTAGGCATGCAAATAATATATCAACTATAAAGTTAGTACACATTTTCAAGGTCTAACTTGGAGCTTTTTATTGTGTGATACATACTTCGCACATGTAGCTGATCCTAAGTAATACATACTTCCCACATGTAGAGGGAGCCTAAATGTTCATAGCAGCAAAAACTTCAGAGGAACAGCTTTCAGTTTTTTTCAGATAGTAAAGAGATAGGATAGGATTGCAATCTCTGTTAAACTAATGTAAATCTAAAATAACTCTAAAGGACTTCAGTAGAAGTATTACAGATACGAAATATTGTAACAGAGAGTGAAACTGAAACAACAGAGCACATACCAGGGGGGAAAAAATCTGTTCAACTCTAAACTGTTCTTTTTTTAGTTTTCAAAGTACAGGCAGTCCTTGACTTAAGATATTTCGAGTTACAATGAAGGGCACTTACGACATTTATAAACTGACACTGTTTTAACTTTCTGATGTCAGTTTCAACTTTACGACGCTTGATCCAGTGCAATGCCATGCCAGTGAACAAGTTCACTGAGTTGCCCATCTCCCTGGAGAACATCTATCCAAACTTCCTTGGATACTTTCTTTATGAAAGCAGACAAGATCCAGAAAAACCTGCAGCCAAGTCTCCTGAGAAGACTCTAGGCAAAAGAGCCCTTCCAAATCAATATGATTGCTATTTACAATAGAAATACATTAATGTAGCTATATTACTCATCTATAATTGATTGTGTACAAAATTCTGAGTTATTTTTCGTGAAAATAGGGTATCAGGCCCTGGTTCAGGAACCAATCCCCCATTTATAACATTGTTCCTATGGGAAAATCAGTTCCAAGTTACGGCATTTCAACTTAAAACGCAGTTTTCAGGAACCAATTGTGTCATAAGTCCAAGGACAGCTTGTACTACTAGCTAAAATCTGTGCTAGCATAAAACTTTTGTAAGTATCTTCTATCACCTGTATAAATCAAATTATTTCCATAGAAATATGTGCAATATAAATTAATGCAAAATTTGGTCTTTGTGTTCAAAAACTGCCCGAAAGGGTTATAAGTTAAAATCAGTGGTGCTCAAACCTTTCCCCCAGTAGGCCGGAAGGACAGTGCCAGGTCTGTCCATTGGCCAGATCCAGCCGCTGGTCCTGATCCAGTGCCCGGGGAAGGTGCAGTGTGTACCATCTGGTTGGTCACATGGAGAAGGAAGGGGAGCATTCCAGCCCCAACCTGGCCCCACAGGGAAAAGGGAGCATAGCTTGGCCCTGTGGGGGAAAGGAGGGAAGACCCATCCCCCATCCCCAATCCAGATGCTGAGGGACAGGTATGGACCAGCCCTACCAGGGGAAGGGTGTACAGTCCAACTCTGAACAGCCATGCGGGGCGTGGTGTTTGGGTATTTGGCAGAGTAAGGAGGGTAGCCATATCAATGGCCACTGCTCCCCGATGCTAAATTTCCTGACCCAGGAGGAGCCCCATGTTCTGGATTCCAAGACTTGGAGGTTGAGCACCCCTGAGTTAAATTACTCACTTAATTATGCTGCTATAAATATAAAATAACTACTGATTTAATTGTTGGTGTTAATAGTATGAATTGGCATAAAATCTGATTGTGAATTATCAGCTATCAACAAAAAGACCAATAAAGCCTGGTGCCTATTACACTATGGTGAAACTAATTGGAGGAGATAAAAAGAACTTTGTTTATTTAGTCTAACACAGGAATTTCAAACATTTGGCTCACAGAACTGTTCCATCTGGCCTACCAGTAGTCCATTGAGCTACTAGAAGTTGGGGGACATGTCCTGCCACAGAATTACGAGTCCCTAGACCCCAATGCATCTGCACTGCTGCCCAAACACAGCCCCACACTGCTGCACATCCCCAGACTCATGCTGCTGCCCTTGGATGTGTGCTGTCACCTGAAGCACATGGCTTCACACATGTCACTGGGCTCATGCTGCTGCCCAAATGCAGTTCCATGCCACTGCATACTCTCAGATGCATGCTGCCATCAGACTGGGGCTCTAGGCTGCCACGCAAATGGAGATCTGTGCTACCACCCAAGCATGACTCCATACCACCACCCAGCCCTGGACCCACTTCAGTTGCTACTGGACCAATGGAACCACTTCAGTTGCTACTGGACCAATGGAACCAGCCTGGGAGGAGCCCCGTAGCCCAGATCTGGCTCAGGCCCCAGGGTGCATTTGACACCCCTGGTCTAACACAATTCATATTGAGAAGTGATATGATTACTCTTGTATAAATACATTTGGGAAGCAAATAGCAAGGATGGAGAAAAACTATTTATATAAAAAGATAATACTGGCACAAGATCAAAAGAACATAAATTGGTCATGAATAAATTTAGTCTGGAAATCAGAAGGTTTCTAACCACCAGAGGTTTTCAATGACTTAAACCAAGTAGTACAGACAAGAACCTGGACTGTTTCAAAAGGGAGTCTGATTCATGAAGGAGATAATAGGATAAGGTAAGAATGGTCTTGGAGTTAAAAATTAAAGCTTGAGGTAGAAGTCTCCACTTGTTGAATTTGTTAGTATCCCCAGAAGAGAATAGAAGAGACTTGACTGCTGCATGGGTTGCTTCTATTCAAGGGAGATATTTGACTTTGAGCTCTTTAACTTTGCTGATGGTGCAGGTAGGGCCTGATGGCAGATACTGAAGCTAAAGAAAGTTCAAGGTGAGATATGGGTTCCTCATGGCAGGAGGAGGTAGAGTACTGGAACAGTTTTTGGCATGGAGGTGAAAGGTTTTCAATATTCCACAGTTCTTGAGGCAAGTCTGATGTCTTTTTGAGGATATGCTTTAGTTTACATTACAGCACAGGTGGATCCAGGAGTTGGAGATGGGGGGTGCAGTCACACCCACTTTGATTATAACTTTGTAGCACATGCACAGTGAGTTCTCTGAGCTTGTTAGCTTCTGGGTGCAGCTCCTACCAAAGCTGTTTTTTGGCCTGGCTCTGGAACCCGGGGGGGTGAATGGTGCTGCAGCTCCCCTGTACTATGTCTTTTTCCATCCTTGGTATCAGTGGAAAAGTGAGCAGCAGCACCATTCTGTGTACAGCTGAAGGGTGATGAGGCTGCACCCACACCTAGCTCTTCTCGATCTGTCTCTGAATTAGAGGAAATTCCATAACAAATATGCATGCAAGTAAAGGAAAGTCAGGCTTGGTAATTGTGATCGTCATTTTTAGACTAGGTTTCCTTCTCTTTTTTAATACTACTTTTTGATTTTTCAATATGCTTTTAATATGTCTTACATTGTATTTATACTGTACTTAATTATACAAGATTTAATAAAGTAAATCCGTGCTCCAAAGGTTCTGCAGTTCACCAAGACCAGGAAGAAATTTTCCGCTCCATGAATGCATAATTTGGCTTCTGGATAGGGATTTACCTACTAGTGAAGCATCAGAAAATGGCCATATCCTGGATAAATCATGGATAAATCAATCACTAGATTTGGGGTCATGAAGGAATTTCCTACAGGTCAGTGTACAGCTGGATTCACTTCCTCAGGACTCCTGGGCACATTTTACATGACAAATTCCCTGACATAGCAAGGGCCAAGGCATTAGTCCTGCCAAAGTCTTCTATTGTCTTTGGATCACTGTAGTTTTGGCTTTTTTGCAGTAAATGTCTTAAGTTTGTTATAGGTTGTTAGTAGGTGCTTTGTAGTTTGTAGTGTGGGGAGAGAGGGAAGTAGGGTGAATTTTCTTATAGACCATTTTAGACTTACTGTCTGTGACAGGGGGCAAGCCTGGGGCCGAGTCTCAAGTCAGCCCCCCCACCTATCTATGGGGCAGTCCACCCAGTCTCGCCTGCCATGACTTTGCTCTTCTCTTAACTGGTAGAATAATGCCGGAGGCTGCCCATTACCTGCCCCAAAGACAGGGACACTATCCACAGCTCCGAACCTCCCCTACACTGCAGCCCATGCCTCGCAATTGGCATCCAGGATGACATTATGTTCCTGGCCTAAAGCCGGGCCAACGTAGCCCTTCATCAGGCCTCATTCATACATGAACTCATACCGCCCCCCTCTCACTGGGACCTCTTGCACACCACCCCCTCTCACAGGGTCTCTTGCCCGCCACACAATATTGTGCCTCCTTCACTCTGCCCTGCTCCCTTGAGTGACCCTGTAGGCCATCAGGCTTATCTGACTCATGCCTCAGGTGGCGACATGCAGTCTTTTGGGCCTCTCGCATGACCCTCAATTGGGTAGTGGCCAGCCAATTCACCACACAGAGGGTTAACTCCACCCTACCTCCTCACTGAACTTCATATCCCTCAACATGTTCTTCAGGGGGTTGGCCCATGTGCTGCCCTTCAGGATGTTCCCCGGATGTACTCAGCACACCCTGTTGGGTTGTCCTTCAGGCTGACCCTCAGTCCTACTCAACCCTCATCAGGGCCCTCACTAGGGCTTACACATCTATCCCTTCCCTGGGGCCTCCGGGGTCTTAGTCTCCTGTGGGGGCTCAGGTGGCCATAGCTGTGCCTGGCCCCCTTATACCCAGTTTTGTGGGGGCTAGGAGTTATTGAGGCACTCCGACCTGCCTTTCACTGGGGAGATGAGCAGTCCTGGTATCTGAATGGGGCTGCCACGCCACTGACAGTCCCACCAGGCTTCCCTATCCCAGCAGAGTGCAGTTTTAGGTCATGCCTAGGACCAGAAGCCTCCAAGCCATCCCCTTAGCTCCTGCACTTAGCTCCAAGATGTTCCTGAGCCACAGCTCAGCCAGCTGATGTTTCTTTCACAGCGGCCAGTAGTAAACTGCTGCTTTGCCCTACATATATTCTGGGCCTCAAAATAACCACTGCAATCAAGCACCTGGCTGCTACCTGCTCCAGCCCTTAAAGTGGCAGGCACCATAGGTGAACTGCCATATTGTCTATTATGTGGCTGTCTACAGTTATAGGGAACTAGACTCTGTAAACCAGGTGGTCTGTTCCAGACCCATGTTCCTAAACTGTAAAAAGAGCTCTCCCTTAATACAGAGCTGTGCTAGTCTGAAGCCAGGCAGAAAGTAAGTCTGGGTGGTACCTTAGGGCACCTATACCTGTTACAGACATCTGCTCCAATGCGTGCTAATTAGCATGCATCAGAACAGACTCAGTTAATCAATTCTGCTCCAGCAGCCTCCACATCATGTGTATTCCCCTGTGACAGGAGTATCAATATGGGAGCCTTTCTGGGAGTGGCTCCGCCCTCCTGTAATGGGCCAACAGCCTGCTTACTCGCCTGCCATGCCTTGATTTTACTTGATTAGAAGATGGTTGTAATCAGCGGGAGGCTGCCCATTTTTTCCGCACCCCGGTGACAGGGGGCACTACCTGCGGCTCCTTTTCCTCCCCTACACCGCAGCCCAAGCCTCGCAGATGGAGTTGACGTGGTTTGACCTGAGCCTTGTTATGTTCTGGCCCTCCTCTTTACTCCCGGGGCTCCTCACTGCCCCCTCTCTTGCTTGCTCTGGGGCTCCTCACTGACCTCTCTCCTGGGGCTCCTCACTGCCCCCTTCTCTCTCTGGGACTTCTCACTGCCGCCTCTCTCGGGGCTCCTCGCTGCCCCCTTCTCTCTCGGGGCTCCTCACTGCCCCCCTCTCTCTCAGGGCTTCTCGCCACCCCCCTTCGCTCCAGGGCTTCTCGCCGCCCCCTAGCTCCAGGGCTTCTCGCCGCCCCCTAGCTCTGGAGCTGGGACCAATGCACCCCCAAACAAAGCTGCGCCCTCTCCGGCACCAGGATACCCCATGCTACTGTGGAGCTCCTGTGAGGCCTCCTCCACCCCTAATAGCCTCACCCGGTCCTCTGGTCAAAACAGTAAGCATAAAACATAAAGCCCCTGGGCTACAACATAAAAACTAGACCATCCGGTCAAACAAAATTCTACTCCCTACTAGAGAGTGAGGGAGCGGGGGGGGAGGAGGAGGGCTCCCCAACCTCAGCAGTGACCGGGGGATGCTGTCACTGCCAGAGTCCTCCCCTCTGCCTGTCCGAGCTGAGTCCCTACTCCCACGGCTGCTGGAGAGGGACTACCCTCCTGGCCTCCTATCTGGGCTTAAGAAGGGATAAGCCCTGCCCCTTCCTGGTCAGCTGGTTTTACCAGTTGCCCCGGCAACCAGCACCTGTGCAGCCCTGGTGACTGGCAGCTGAGCCTCCCCCTTTCTGCCACTAGGGGTCTCCCCAGAGCAGTCTCCGCTCTCAGGCGCAGGGCACCTGAGTGCACTGCGACACACCTCCCCCACTTTTTGCCCCTGACTCACCGAGCCAAGTCTTCCCTTTCAGTGGGTGCTCTGTCTTTCCCCAGCCGTCTTCTCTGGCACCTGACCATCTAGGTACAAGAGGGTGGAGGTTTTTAGGCGCCTCCTACTCACCTTTTACCCAAGGCACACCATGTGGGATTTGTCAGGAGTTACCCACCACAGGTAGTCCCCCCACACTAGCCAACCTTGGTAGGGTGCCTTTTCACGTTGTAGGATGGTCCCAGGCAAGGCGTGTCCCTCTAACAGAAATGGCAGGCGCCTTATTGTCATTGTTGGGGGTTCGTCTCCCTGCCACCTTGCCAGTCGCCCAATCGGTTGGCCCCATTTGGTAGATCCCCATATGGGGGGGTTTACCCTGCCTCCGTTCCTCCTGGCCCCTCCCTCTCTTCATACTGTCTCGATA